TGCTATGAAATCCACTTATGTTCTGCAATTAGGTGAAAAACATATAACCAAAAAAACAGCCAGACAAACATCCTCCTGTGCACCTGAACGGCCTCCACTCTGACGAAAGCGATGAAACCGCAGCACTCAAAAGCGCTCTCTGTATTTTACCTCACAATGGCAAAAACACAGGCTCTCCAAACTCTGATCACTCGAGAGTCACTTACAGACATTCACTCTATCAGGGAACTTTCATCATCTGCAGACTAAAGGAGCACGAAGCCGCTCTTAAATCACAACACGTCACTCAGAAACAGGCTTGTGATCTTCTTAAGTAGATGTAATACCGTGAGTGCACTTCATGTGTTCTAGCTGGAAGTACAGATACTTGTGCCTCTTTCAGCCTCAAAGTTCAATCTATAGAGAGTGGATCCAATAAAACTAATTTTATGGAGGAAATTTGTGAACAAACGTCGACATTTAAAAATGATGCATGTACATGCTAAATGAAGCATTTATGTATGTGTGTGCTTTTATTTCCCAGAAAAGCCATGCGCTCTGTATTGTTCACCCATCGGCAGTGATGCACCGGTACTAGTGGCAGAGCGTGTGCTGGACGGAACGCCATGTGGACCTTACGAGAGCGACCTGTGTGTGAGCGGAAAATGTCAGGTGTGTATTTTCATACTACTGTTCAAAAGTTTGGGGTCAGTAAGGTTTTTTTCTTTTGTTCACCAAATCTGCATTTATTTGTAAAATGTAATTTATTACCGTGATGCAAAGCTGAATTTTCAGCATCATTACTCCAGTCTTCAGTGTCACATGATCCTTCAGAAATCAGTCTAATATGCTGATTTGATGCTCAAGAAACATTTCTGATTATTATCAGTCTTGAATGCTTCATATTGTTGTGGAAACACTAATAGATTGTTTTCAGGATTTTTTTAAATTAAAGTTTTATTTTCAATGTATTATGTTACAAAACATTTCTATGTCTTTACACTCTAAAAAATGCTGGGTTAAATACAAACCAGTGTTGGGTGAAATATGGACAAACCCAGCAATTGGGTTGTTTTGACCCAGTGGTTGGGTTAAATGTTTAACCCAACCTTCTGGGTAGTAACCCAACCGCTGGGTCAAAACAACCCAATTGTTGGGTTTGTCCATATTGTACCCATCACTGGGTTGTATTTAACAAAGCATTTTGTAATTTTTGATCATTTTAATGTGCTCTTGTGGAATAAAAGTATTAATTACTTTCGTATTTCGTAAAACAATTGTATTTATCCCAAACTTTTGAATCACAGGGTCATCATACAAATATTGTATTGATTGCAGTTGTCTCTGAAATGAAACTGGAATATGAGAAGACTGATGTAAGATATGAGAGATTTTCGCATAAAAATTACACACTTATTGAATTCAATGAAGATTAAGGTTAATAACCCTCCTGAAGTGCAGAGCTTAGAACAGTTTAAAAGATTTATCGACTGATTAAAGATGAGCGTGAGATCATATTGCACCGGTTCATTTTCTGCACTGATTTACAGTAAAACATTGCAAAAGAGTATTTGATTAAATGAGCAACTTTTTGATTGTAGAAGCATGTTGTCAAAAAGGAAGACTGATGAATGAGTGTTAGGAAAGCGACCGAGAAGCGACCGAAGTACAGAGAGTCGTGTAGTAGTTCGACAAAGAAAGATACATCGCACACTTAATTTTGGCCGCTGTTTCTACAGTCAACCACACTGTTGCTCACTGGCCACTAGTAAGAGTACAAGACTGAAAGGAGGTCACAGTCTGCAAGCCGCCTCCGCTAATAGAAGGCAGGAATGAAAAAAGCAGGTCAAAATGTCTGGAAGTGATTTTACTGTGTGCACTATAACAAACACACACATACACATGTGCGGTTACTGTACGTGAGTGAAGGGATTCATCGGCCCCCGAGCATTGACTACATCCCTTCATTCTGTAACATAAACATGCTCCACCTGGGCAGCCCCACAGGAAGTGAGCAGATTCAGGGTCAGATCCTGTCCTGGTTTGTCCTGACCACAATCCCAGCATCGCTGTTTTGGAGTTAGCGCTCATATTCATGGTCTGAATGAAGCTCTTGTGTCAGAAACATCCAGAGGGAGAGAACGGATGCTCAGCGCCAGGATCCTTCAGTGAAAATATGATTTCTGTGACCTTTTCTGGTTTATACCATTCTGCTTTTACTTTTAAGCCAGCCTATTAAGAAATAAATCACTGACAGAGCTGACCTGGATTTAATGAAGGCGACAATAGGGAAGACATTATTTACACACAGGATGCAAACAAGAAGATTCTTTCAGCATCATTAGCGTTATCCCTAATATTCAGATTTGTCAATTGTTTGTTAGTGATTCTCAGAAACACATGCTCATTGTTTTTCTGGTGAATGCTAATTTAATTTGCTGAAAATGTACACACCCTCAGGCCATCCAAGATGTAGATGAGTTTTTCTTCATCAGATTTGGAGAAATGTAGCATTACATCACTTGATCACCAATGGATGCTCTGCAGTGAATGGGTGCCGTCAGAATGAGAGTCCAAACAGCTGATAAAAACATCATAATAATCCACAAGTAACCCACACAAAACAAATCCATCATTAAGACATTTTTAACTTCAAAACTATTTCTTCTTCCCGAAATATTAGTCCTCTATAATGCAGTGAAAAAGTCGTCTCGTCTGAATCAGGAGAGAAATATGCACAGATCAAGCACCATTTACAAGCCAAAACAGTCTGACGGCACCCATTCCATCACAGAGGATCCATTGGTGAGCAATTGATGTAATGCTTGTTTGGAGAACATTTCTCCAAATCTGTTCTGATGAAGAAACAAACTCCTCTACATCTTGTATGGCCTGAGAAGTGAGTACATTTACATTTTTGTTTGAAATATTCCTTTAACCAGACAGGATTCCAATTTGTCTACAACGAATGTGAAAAATAGGGCCTGACACGACTCATTCGATCATAAAGTACAACTAATCAGAATGACTCTGTTTCCACGCTCTCTCGCCCTCATAATGCACTGAAACTCATCATCTTTGAACATTCCTGAAGTGAAATGAGGAATGACTTCCTGTTCATCCAGATAATTCATCAACTTAACCAGCGGTGATTGCCACAGAACATTTACTAATGCAATTTTACTTTAGGTTTTTAAAATCATTCGTAAAGATTTTCTTAAGGCTTTCACTTTCAGGAGTGATTTTGTTGCGTTTTAAAGGGGTCATATGATGCGATTTAAATTTTTCCTTTCTCTTCGGAGTGTTACAAGCTCTTGGTGCATAAAGAAGATCTGTAAAGTTGCAAACACTAAAGTCTCAAAACCAAAGAGATATTTTTTATAAAAGTTAAGAGTTAACCACGCCTACCTAAAACGGCTCTCTCACGCTTGAGGTATTCGGCCAATCACAACGCATTGGATAGCTGGCCAATCACAGCACCCCTCGCTTTTTCAGACCGATGAGCTTTGTAAAAATCGATGTGTTTCAAAAAGGCGGGGCATAGAGGAGAAACAATAATGTACAGTATGTGGAAAATAATGTGTTTTTTGAACTTTAAACCGCATAAACACATTTCATTACACCAAATACACAAAATAATGTTCTTTTTAGCAGCATCATATGACCCCTTTAAGTTATCCAACAATTTGAGCCATTATACTTTGTGACTTGATGTTGTGCCAAAGAAATCAGAATTATATTACAGCTCAACACTGATTTGTTATCGACAGTGGGCAACAGCTTGCTTGGCATGTTCTTAAATCATTTTTATTGCATGAAGAAATTAATTGATATTTTGACCCCTTATATGGTGTTTTCTTTCTTGTAGAGCACAAAAAGAGGTTCCCCTTCAGGAACTCGAGCTGCGTTGAAACACTATGGGAACGCCTTCAGAATGACCACGCTCTGAATCACGTGTGTTATCAGTCCAGTGGATGAGCGAGACGTCACGGGCGGGGTGACGTAGAGACCAGGAAGCTTAAAAGCACGTGTGGTGGATACAGCGGCAGCTTTCTGTCATTCAGCAAGCGCTCTGTGTGTGTCCGTCTTATTTATTGTTGTCTGTCCAAAGCACTCATTATCATGCCAAAAGCGAGTCAGAAAACCAAACATAAGGGCGAGAGCAAACACCACTATAGACTGTGTGTTCCTCCCTGTCCTCACTACATCACGGACGGGGATACACATAGTTTATGCGTGGTTTGTTTGGGAGCGAAGAACGCTGAGTCAGCTCTCGAGGGGGCTGACTGTCCGCACTGCGACCGCCTCTCGCTGCGGACGCTTCGCTCCCGGGTGGCTCTCTTTGAGAAGGGAGCCTTCGCCAGCGTTCCCCGCGGCTCTGGTCCCGCATCTGCTGAGGCAGCGTGTCGATCGCGGTCGTGAGGTTCGCAGATGGATCAGGTGGAGGGAATGGAGACGGGCCAGTCCCTATCTTCTTCCTCACCCACCAGATCCAGCGCCCCCTCTCAGGGATCGGAAGCCCGCACCGTGGTTTCTTCCCCCCAGGGCGAGGGCTCGACACTCCACCTCTCTTCCTCCGAGGAGGTCAATGTGGAGGCTGTCGATGAGGCAGGGGACTCGCCCCTCCTGTCTCCCCAGTATGAGGAGCTGTTGGAGGTAGTAACTCGCGCTGTGGCTAAGTTAAACATCGATTGGCCCGCCGAGAGACAGGCTGAACTGCAGAAAAGTAAGCTGGATGAAAGCTGCTACCTCCATGCCGGGGCTTTCCATTTTTTCCCGATCTGGATTTATCTCTCCGCGCCACCAAAGAGACCGCCCGCGCCATCGGCAGGTCTATGGCAGCCATGGTGGCCGCGGAGAGGCATCTGTGGTTGACCCTGTCCGAGATAAAAGAGAAGGACAGGGTCTTCCTCATGGACGCCCCGCTTGCGCCTTCTGGCCTGTTCGGCGACGCCGTCAACTCGGTCGTCGACAGGTTCCAGGAGGCCCGTAAACAAGCGGCGGTGTTCCAGCAGTTCCCCCCTCGCCGCTCTCTAGCTTCGGGGGTTGCTGGGCGGGAGCAGCCCCACTCATGTACCGGCTCCTCATACCGGGTACAACAAAAACAGAGCGTCGCCTCTCGTGCTCCTCCGCAGCGGGACCGAGAGCAGCAGCGCTCTTAGTCGGGGACTTCGAAGTCGAAGCCGGATCTGCGGACCATCCTTCAGGCTAAGAAGTCCTCGGCCAAGAAGTCCTGACGCTTGTGGCTCAGGACTTCTGAGGGCAGGCCCCTCTGGGGAAGAGCGGTGTACACCTCATCATATGGTGTCCGTCTCTTCTCAGTGCCCTCAGGAGATCAATCTGCCAACCCTGCCACCCACGGCGCTTCAGGGCGCAGTGGTCTCCGGCGAGCGCTTCTCTCAGTCTCCGCCCGGAAACGTAGCGGCTCTGGGAGGCTCGCTACCTCTTCGGAGGTCTCTAGAGCATCTAGATTGGCTGGTCCTCCACTTCAGGGCACCGAGCTAGCAGCTCTAAGTACACCAGTGGTCGGTCTCGAGAGACTGATTCCTTTAGTAGACTATTTGGCAGTGTGGAAACTTCTGCCAAATGTGTCTCAATGGATCCTGCACACTGTAGAAAGAGGCTACCGAATCCAGTTCGGCTCTCCTCCGCCACGTTTCAACGCGGTCATTCCCACTCTGGTGGGCTCTGAGCAGGCTTTGGTAATGGAACAAGATGTAAACTCTCTCTTGAGGAAGGAGGCCATCGAGGTGGTCCCTCCTCTCGACAGAGAGTCCGGGTTCTACAGCCGGTACTTCATCGTTCCAAAGAAGGATGGAGGGCTGCGTCCGATTTTAGATCTGCGTCAATTGAACCGCTCAGTCATGCGACTGAAGTTTAGGATGCTTACAATCAAACAAGTCGTGTCTCAGATCAGGTCCGAGGACTGGTTTGTCACGATCGATCTCAAAGACGCATACTTCCATGTCTCCATCCTTCCCCAGCACAGGAAGTTCCTGAGGTTTGCTTTCGGGGGCGAAGCTTACCAGTACCGGGTTCTTCTGTTCGGCCTTGCACTCTCACCCTGCACTTTCACGAAGTGTGTGGATGCTGCTCTGGCTCCACTGCGACTCCAGGGCATCCGCATACTGAATTATATCGACGATTGGTTGATAATAGCTCAATCGGAGCAGATGGCGGTTCGGCATTGAGATGTCGTTCTCGCTCGCATGAAAGAGCTGGTTCCTGGTTCCTGTCTCAGGGCCCGGTGCTGGAAGCTCCTTGTCACCGCGTAACGCTAGCGACGGACGCTTCCCTCATTGGTTGGGGAGCGGTCATGAGTGGCCGCTCGGCCCGCAGTCTGTGGAGCGGCCGCCATCTCACGTGGCACATCAACTGCCTGGAGAGGCTGGCCGTGTTTCTAGCATTGAAACACTTTCTCCCAGACCTAAGAGATCGCCATGTGTTGGTGCGCACCGACAACACAGCAGTGGTCTCTTACATCAACCACCAGAGAGGTCTGCGTTCGTGCCCCCTTTACAGGCTGGCGCACCAGATCCTTGTGTGGTCCCTGGGGAAACTCCTCTCGCTGAGAGCAGTTCACATCCCTGGGCATCTCAATATGGGAGCAGACATCCTGTCGAGGCAGGGGCCGAGGCCCGGGGAATGGAGGCTTCACCCCGAGGTGGTGAAGCAGATTTGGAGAGTGGGGGGGGGACACCATTGAAAAGGTGTTTTTTTTCACTTCTGTTCTCTCGCCTTAGTTGTGCTCTTCCACACTAGGCAGGGATTTGTAAGTCTGGCAGAGTGGGCATACTCGTTCCCATAGCGTTTTGACGCAGCTCGAGTTCCTGAAGGGGAACGTCTCTAGGTTACACATGTAACCATGGCTCCCCGAGGGAACAAGACGCTGCGTCTCATTGCCATACTTCCAGCATCCCTGTGAGCGCTTACTTCATTTCCCAGATATATGTATCCACCGCACATGCTTTTAAGCTTCCTGGTCTCTACGGCACCCCGCCCGTGACATCTCGCCCATCCATTAGACTGTTTACACACGTGATTCAGAGCGTGGTCACGCTGAAGGCGTTCCCATAGCGTTTCGACGCAGCGTCTCATTCTCCCGGGGAACCATGGTTACATGCGTAACCTAGAGACGATTTTTTTGAAGAATCTTAACATATCTTTAAAAAAAAAACATTTACGCTACTGGGGTCAGGAAGGTTTTTTTTAAGTCTCTTCTGCTCACCAAGGCTGCATTAATTTGATCAAAAATACAGTAAAAACAGTAATATTGTGAAATATTATTCCGATTTCAAATAACTGTTTTCTATTGGAATATATTTTAAAATGTAACTTATTCCTGTGATCAAAGCTGAATTTTCAGCATCATTACTCCAGTCTTCAGTGTCA